TGCATTTTAGTAGAGACAGGGTTTCACCGTGTTGCCCACACTGGTCTTGAACTTCTGAGCTCAGGCAATCTGCCCGTTTCCCTAAGTGCTGGGATTACAGGTATGAGCCACCATGCCTGGCCCGTAATTACTTTTTCTGAAGCAGTGTCTCTTGTACATTCTAAAAATAATGCAGAAGTTATTCTCACAAAACAAAGGTGATAACCACCATCTGTGTTGGTATGTCAACTTGAAAACATCAACCCTTGATCAAATAGTTTAAGAAAATATGTGCCCCATGCCAAATCCACAGATATTACTGTGATGTACCCAGACAGTGATTTCTGAGGGCAGGGAGCCATGCAATGCAGAGAATGCAACATATGCCACCTGCAAAGAGAAGGGCTGACCTATGGCTGCTTACCCATCAATCATTCTCTCACACCTCTTCCTTGACCACAGGACCTGCTCCCATCTATGCAACCTAATCATGTCAAATATGCACTCCCCAGAGTCTCTCAAACTAGGACCCACTGTGTACCAGTGGGATCTAAAGAGAAGACTGGTGATAGGATTTGTGGAAAGGTTTTATTCTTTGGTAAAAAGACATAAATGAGGAGAAAGATGCCTTTTCTTGCCTTTGGATATAAATGGTTGAGTTTGTGGTGTCTGGAAGAGCTGCAGCTATATTGTGACCGTGAGGAAACAAGCTGGACTATGACAGCCAACGCACTGGGCATAATGGAAGGGAAAGATAGAAACATTGGAGTAATGCTGGTGTGTCACTGAATTAGAAAGAACCTGGAGACAACCACTTTTGAAATGTTTGTTATGCAATACGATAAACTCCTATAATCTCAGCCCACTTTTACATAATATTCTACTAACTGCAATTGAAATCATTCTAATTGACACACGAATCTCACATCCTCTCCATGTATTTGCAGTTGAGATTTGGAGGATGCTTAGCAAGTGTATGCAGGTTTCCAAAAGCCCTGTGGGGATAAAAAGTCACCTCAAGAAATCCTTTCTGGTGGCTGTCATGGAGTGTTACCAGGAGATTGAGACTGGATTATTTAGTTTCATACCTTCATCAATTGCTATCTGCCTAGAAGGCTTTGACCATTCAACCACAGTCACTTTATATTCATTGGAAGAGATCTTCAAAAGTGGGCAGAAAACAATTCCAGATAAGATTTTCTGGGGTCACCAAAAATGTGGCACTCCCTAATTCCATTGCAAAAGGAAGTTCCAACCCAACCTACCTGCTCTCACTCACTCACTTATACTTTCGTGAGACAAAGCCTTTGTGCCTAACACTGTAAAGCTCAACTTTTTAAAGAAGTAAAGAAAAAAAAAAGAGAACAGGTGATAAAAACACAAGATGATCAGTACTAGGGCCTCAGAAGGAGAGCTAAGTTTGGGTCTCACCGACAGGTATGAGGTGTCAATCTAAATAACAAACAAAGAGAGGTGCTGAAGATTTTGAGTTTAATCAGGAGTAGCAGGGCCTTGCAATGCAAAACATGCCTGGCATGGTAACCACGGGTGCATTCAGGAAGGCAAAGGGTGACAAGGGCTTTTAAAAGTAAAATGAGGAAGATTACATAAGTTGTTTAAAAATAATCATCCTTGGCTACAAGAATTAATCACAGGGGTGGCAACAGCCCGAGGCTGCTGGGCAGATGTCCCTGCAGGAGTGTGTTGTGTGCAAGGTTGCAGTGGCCTTGGTGCAGGGCTGTGGTTTCTGGCGGTCTCCTGAGATGGTTCTGATTTTCAGCTAAATATGCATGAGGGGCTCCTCTCATGGTTTTCCCTGGCTCCATTTTGTCAGGGTTTGACAGAGTGAGTATTTTAAATCTGACAGCTTTCCCAAAAGCAAGGGAGGGACACGTCCGGAGTTGTGCATTATACAGACCCCTTAAACAGCCCCATGCAAGACGCATGCCAGTCAAAGGAAAGGTGGCAGGGGTAAGAAGAGGGATGAGAAGCAGAGACTGTCTAGGTCAGGCTGTTGCCATAGGAATGAGCGTTCCTTCTGCAAGTTGCATGTCTTCACGGAAGACTACTCCAAATGAACTCTCTCCACTTTCCAGGGAAGTTCAACTCTCAAAATTCTAAGTGGCTTCTAAACTGGAGAAACGCAGACAGCTTGCCAGCCTCATCAGGCTTAATACTGTGAGATATGAGATGTGTTCCGCCTTATCTATAGTTTATACCTCAGCTGTGGTATTTACAAAACAATTGCAAGCAAGTACTAAGGGGTCATAACCCAATAGCTACCCAAGCCCTGGTTTTACACATTAAAAAGTGCATTCACCTAGGAATGGCTGAGTAGGGCTGACACAGGAAAAGAACAAGATGAGCCTGAAAACTTTTGGGGGAACCAAAAAATAGGGAAAGACTAAAAAATGATGGAGATTCGTCAATAGGACCCGAAAGCCAGCTTGAAGGCACTGCCACTGGGCAAATGCAGAACCAGTTAAGCATAAAATAATGATAATCAAGGAACAGAACCTGCCGAATACAGTAAGAATGCATGAGCCCATCCTGGTATCAATGGATCGACTGATGATGTCTTAGTCAGCCTGGACTGCTATAGACTGAGTCGTTTAACAACAAACCCTTATTTCTCATGGTTCTGGAGATGGAAAGTCCTAGATTAAGGGGGCAGCTGATCCCTTTCAGGGGAAGCCTCACTTCCTGTCCCGCAGAAGGCCAGCTTCTCACTGTGTCCTCACAAGGCAGAGAGAATGAGCAATCTTTCTGGTGTTTTTTCTTATAAGGACATGGATCCCCTCATGAGGGCTCTGTCCTCAGGACCTCCTCTAAACCTGACGGCCTTTTAAAGGCCCCAACTCCAAATACCATTGCACTGGGCATGAGGCCTTCAAAATACGAATTTGGGGGCAACAGAAACATTCAGTCCATTATAGAGAGATAAACAGTAAATAAATACATGGAGAGAAGGGAAAGATTCTCCCTGTTGTAGAAATCAAGAAACCTTTTATTCTGATGAATGTTGAAGCAGTGGTGGAGTTAGAAGATCACCATGTATCGAGCATTAAAATTCAGTCCAAAAGAGTCATCTGTGGATTGGAAAACGATTCAATTTTCAAATTCACTCCTGTGACTCTTCACAGGATATTTATTATTTTGTTTGGGAACTGGGTCTCATTCCGTGTCGCCCAGGCTGGAGTGCAGTGGTGTGACCATGGCTCACTCCAGTTTCAACCTCCTGGGCTCCAGTGATCCTCTCACCTCAGTCACCCAAGTAGCTGAGGCCACAGGCATGTGTCCCCTATGGGATAATTTTTAAATTTTTGTAGAGACAGGATCTCACCACGTTGCCCAACCTGGCCTCAAATTCCTGGGATCAAGTAATCCTCCCATCTTGGCATCCCAAAGTGCTTGGAGTACAGGTATGAGCCACCATGCCTGGCCATGGGTGTTTATATTGTCTCAAAGTATCTTCTCAAAAGATACATACTGATGACAAATAATACATGCTAACCTGATAGTGGATAAACCTGGCACTCACTGCCTTAACCGAATGACCAAGGTGAACATCTCTGGCGACAGGACTGTTTACAGCATTCACAAATGGAAAAATACTATAAGCATTGTTTTATACTTCACTTTTTTTTTTGAGACAGGGTTTCACTGTCACCCAGGCTGGAGTGCAGTGGCACAATCATAGCTCACTGTGGCCTCAATCTCCTGGGCTCCAGTGACCCTCCCACCTTGGCCTCCCAAAGTGTGGGATTGCAGGCATGAGCCACAGTGCCCAGGCTTACTTCGCTTTTTTAACTTGGCCATACACCTTAATTATTCCTGGATAATTTTTCCCTGGAGATTGTTATATTTCAGCAAATGCAGAGCTACTTCATTCTTTCTAGTGGCTGTATACTACCCCCTAGTATGGATGGTACACAATTTTTGTTTGATTTATTTAATACAAATTACATTTATTTAACTTGAACAATGTAATGTTTACACACACACACACACACACACACATTGTGAAATAATTACTCCATTCAAGCCAAGTGACATATTGACATATTCATTGTCTTATGAAGTTACCATTTTTTCTTTGTTGTGAGAACACTTAAGATGTACTCTTTTAGCAAATTTCAAGTTTACAAATAGAGTATAACTACCTATACATAGTTGCCATACTGTACGTTAGACCTCTAGAATGTATTCCTCATACATACTTGAAATTTTTCATCCTTTAACCAGATCGACCCAGTTCTTCCCTGCACTTGACCTAGTAGCCATCATTCTACTCTTACCATGAGTTAGACTTTCAGAGGCGCCACCTGTAAGTGAGCTCATTCAGTGTATTTCTGCTTCTGACTTATCTCACGAGCAAAATGTCCTGAAACGTCCGTGCTTTACAAATGGCAGGATTTTCTTCTTTTTAAAGGTGAAATAATATTCTGTGTGTGTGTCGGGGGTGGTGGTGGTTGTGTGTGTAAACAGAGAGAGAGAAGTAATGTGATTGTAATAAGAGTTACATTTGTGGAATATGGGTGAAGAGTAACTGAGAATTCTTTGTACTATTCTGATAACATTTGTAGATCTCAGATTGTATCAATAAGTTGTATATAACATATAATATCTATGTAAATAGATATTATATTTAATATATAAATATAACATCTATGTAAATATATATTATATATAAATCCTATATACTAATAATATATATCTACGTAATTATATATTACATATAACTGATATATATATGAGACTTTCTCCTGCCTCTTACAGCATTTCTGTTTTTCCCCATGTTAACTCTCAGCTGTTTCCTATGGAAAATAAAAAGTAATATAATGACATAATAATACTGGGGGTGCCTAGGAAGAAGCTGTGTGGCTGAAGCTTGCCCAAGAGCAGAGGGCCTGCATCTCCTATTACACCAGAAGCACCGATTTCCCAAAACAGACACCTGGTGTTGACAGGGATCTTGCATCCCACATCCACTCCCAGCACCTGAGGCTGTTTCTGCTCACCTGCTTGGTGTCTGGGTGATGGTCCCCAGAGGCGAGGGTGGCACTTGTCCCATGCCACCTTTATCTCTTTCCTGCTGGACTGACCACTGGTCTTGGATGTTGATTCTCAGGATCATTATCTTCTTACTTGCTGTTGCCATAATTCTGTTGGATGGAAAAATACACACACACGTATGTATGTATGTACATGTGTATGTACCTATATACACACACACGTAGGTATGTATGTACATGCATATGTACCTATATACACACACACGTAGGTATGTATGTACATGTGTATGTACCTATATACACACACACCTCTGAGTTTACTTTCATTTTTATTTTGTTCCTTCTCTCAAAATATAATAGCATCATATATAAAAATGTATATATACACACACACACACCATACACACGTACATATGAGGCCACACGGATATATGTACATACAAGTAGGTAATACAAATATTTTTATATTTGTTTGTATGTGCATGCATATGTGTTATGTATATATGTATGTGTACACACACATGCACATACACACACGTATATATATGAAATGAGATAGAGAGAGTGTATGCACCGTTGAGCCAGTCCCCAAGGAGAAAGATACAAATCTCTACCTTTCCCTTTGGGGAGTTGGGCTAAGGATTTTGGTCAGTGCTTTTCCTTTAAAAAGCACCTTGTAGCCCCATCATTTTTCCAAGGTCATGCATTTTCTATTTACAAATATTGACTGGGAAGAAGATCCCTTTCTGCTTCAGGGTCTCCGGTGTGACATAAAACTCACTTAACGCATCTAGGATGTGTTGGTGTGATGTGAGCCCTAGGGGAGTCTCTGGGTGCTGCAAGGCAGAGCTGGGGAAGCCATGCTTGCCTTGTCAGTTCAGGGGCTATGACAGTCAGAGAAAGCAGGCAAATGCTGAGCATACAGGTAAGGAAGATGATGGTGACCACACACTTGAAAGAAACACAAACAGTGTTGTGGGATAATGTGGACGGTTGATGCTTGGGTATAAAGTATGCAGACCTCCCTCCTGTGAGGAAGATCCAGGAAGGGCAGGTCCTTCTGCCATAAAGAAGTGACACGCCAGAGCTCAAAGTCTGTACACGTGGCACTTAGTACCTGATTCTAAAACTATGGCCCCTGGGTTATGACAGAGGCCTCCTGATGACTGCGGGAATTCCAAGGGCAGCCTGAGGACCTGCCCCAGTGCTGTGGATGTGTCTGGAGAACCAGCAGGGTGATGGCAGGGCTGTGGAGTGCCCACGGCTTGCTGTGCCTTAATTACATGGAAGTCATACCCCCATGACAGGCTGGACTTTCAGGGGCATAAATCAAAACTACAGAGAGTTGGCATGGTTTTGGCTGCGAAGGTGATCAATTCCCTTCTGCTTCCCAGAGGCCTGTGTACCAGTGAGAAATGTCCCGTGAGGCTCTGGGCACCTCTGCGTTTATTTTAATTATTATTTTGTTCCTTTTACTACCAAAATATAATGGCATCATTCTTTGTGTACTTGCAGACAGAGTCCACTGAAGGCAGGTGGCAAAGCCTCCCTACAAGCTGCCCTTCTGTGCTGTATTTTTCAAATCCACACAGAGAGCAATGAGATGGGTGAAATCTCTTTGGAGATCGCAAAGCTCTTTGGCACTTGCAAAGGCAGAATGTTTCTGCCTAGGGATGATTTTCAAAGTATTTAACAACTGGCATGGTGGGCCAAGAGCTGAGAGTTGATTCTAGATCCACCTGCTGTGCTGGCCACTGACACTTCTACTGATGGCCTTGCGGAGTTGGGTGCAAGTATCCCAGAAGTGGAGCCTCACAAGGAGACAGGAGATGATTGGATGACACAGCCGGGCACCTGGGGTAGCAGCTGCCACCCAAAAGCAGCACAGATCGTCCACGTGTGCTTCCGGGCGGCGTCACCTGAGGGAGGCTGCTGCATTTGAGTAGAGGCAGGGGACAGCCCAGGGTGATTTCTAGGTGATTCTTCTTGGCAGGGTTATTGTCCACATGATGCTAAATATGCCTTCCAGCTATCTGCTGCTGAAGTCTCAGTTATGCACCTGCCTCTTTACTCTTTCTAGATTCCAAATAAAAGTCGATCCCAGTAGCCACCCAGGGGCTTGCCTTCCCGAGGCATCTTGGTTTTCTCTCCTGAAACTTCACTGGCTCTTGTTCTCTATCCCCACCTTTAACACCCACCCCACAACATGTACCCTAGCACTTTACTTAGAGCTAAAAGCTCAAGCACAACTGCTCTTTTTTTCCATCTTCACAGCAAACATTTCTGCTTCTTATGCTTTCCTAGAGAACAGTCACTCCTCCCTGCCCAGGAAACTCCAAGGCAAGAGACAGATGAATCTCAGGAAGAAAAATTGGCTGCCATAGCAACTTGGAACATATGGAATTCTGACACTTTGGCTGGGTACATTTTCCAGGAAAGAGGGTCACTCCAGAAATCAGACCCTCTTTCCTTGTGGCTGGTTGCATCTAGAATTCCAAGGATAAATTCCTCCCAAAGAGTGATGCTCAAATAGGAACATCATTTGGAAAGAGCGCAGCACAGACAGACCTTCGCATGTACCAAGGAGCCCACATCTACGCAGGAGAGTCATTCATCAGCTACCGCAGCACTGACCCACTTTTGGATTTTTTGAAAAATAACTGTTCTATGTTTTCTTGCTATTATTATTATTAATCCATTCCAGCAGGTCTCAACATCAAGTTATTTTTTTAATAAAATGCAGCATTATTTCATCACTCACCACTCAATAGTACAAAAATCAAACAGACACATATCCATTAGAATGGCTGAAAAGAAACTAAAAAAGCAGAAAACATTGAGTGCTGACAAATATCTGAGAGAAATCACAAATATCGTCATTGGGAGGTTAATTGGTACATTTATCAAAATGTCTACTAAAGTTGAACTGAGATTTACCCCATGTGGCAGATAGAATACTGGCCCTCCAATGATGTTCTCATTGTACCCGAAGCCTGGGAGTGCGTGATCTTCCAGGGTACAAGGTCTCTGCAAAGGTGACTAGCTAAGGACCTTGAGATGGCAGATGATCCTAGGTTATCTTATTGAGCTCAATGTCATCACAAGGGTCCTTGTAAAAGGGAGGCAGAAGGACCTAAGTCAGAATAAGGGGAGGTGATGACAAAAGAGATGAGAATGATGCACTTTGATGTTGGAGGAAGGGGCCAGGAGCCAAGGAATGTGGACACCTCTAGAAGCTGGAAATGACAAAGAAACACAGTCCCTTAGTGCCAGAAGGAAGCAGCTCTGGCTATACTTTGTTTTTCACCCTGTAAAGCTAAAGTTCTGGCCTCCAGAACTGTAAGGTAATACATTTGTATTACTTTAAGTTACAAAGTATGTAGTAATTTGTTATACTAGCAATAAGAAAGTAATATGCCCTCTGACTCAGCAGTTCAAACTCCTAACTCTGAAACAAACAAAACAAAAAAACAAACCCCAAAACTATACTCAAGAGAAATGCATGCAGGTGTTCACCAAAGACACCCACAAGCCTGTTTGCCCAAACTGGAAATGACTCCAGATGCTTGTAAACAACAGAACAAACAAATATAATACGATACAGTCATATAATAGCATACTGTTTAGGAATAAGAATGACCAAACCTGCAACTATGCACAAAAGCACAGATGATACTCCTAACAAAGGTATCATGTTGAAAGAGGGAAGTGATAAGTTTTGGCTGTGTCCCCACCAAAATCTCGTCTTGAATTGCAGTTCCCCAACGTGTGGTAGAAAGAACCCGGTGGGAGGTAATTTAATCATGAGGGTGGTTACCCTCATGCTGTTCTTGTGATAGTGAGTGAGTTCTCACGAGATCTGATGATTTTATGAGGGGCTTTTCCCTGGCTTCACTCTGCACTTCTTGCTGCCACCATGTGAAGAAGGACATGTTTGCTTCCCCTTGCACTATGATTATAAGTTCCCTGAGGCCTCCCAGCCATGCTGAACTGTGAGTCAATTAAACCTCTTTCCTTTCTAAATTTCCCAGTCTTGGGTATGCCTTTATTAGCAGCATGAGAATGGACTAATACAGGAAGTCAGACACAGAATAGAACAAAGTAACCTCTAAAGCTGACAGAGCTATGCCATGGTGTTGTAGTCAGTACCATGTTACCCTAAGGGGGAGGGTCATAAATAGACATAGTCATGAGGAATGAGTCTGGTATTCTAGTAATATTCAATTTCTTGCTCTGAGTGTATCACTTTGTGAAAATTCATCAGACTGTACATGTATGTGCACTTTTCTCTATATTATATTATAAATGTACTTTTTGCATCTATTTCGGGGTTCAGTAAAAAGTTTACAAAAACAGACACCAAATTTTAATATGGATTCAAGTCAAAGACACAGGTCACTATGGCTCCACCTCTGTGCAGGGTCAGTGGGAAGCCTGGTGGTCAGGTGCAATGACACTATTTGAATCCCTGAAGGGTCTCTTCCCTTCACATCCCATTATCCCTACACTGTTGAATTTTGGGTTTTTGGGTATCCTGGAAACCTTGAACTTGTCTATGATGGAGGAGGGGGCTGCTTAACAGAGCCTCAGAACCCAGGCGGGCATCCCTGTTTTTGGACCAAATATGGGCAACCTGTTGGCTGTCAATGAGAGGTGGGCCTCCCCAGAGAATAAGGAGAAGGACATCAGCCAAACCACAGTCTTCCCAGCTCCCTGACAATGGTGATAAGAGAGTGAAGGGCTCAGACTTAGAGTCTACACTGCACAATTCTCTCCTCTTATTGCAAGACAACAAGACTTTTATTTAGCCTGGGGGCAAGCAAAGAAACAAAACCAACAACTCACTTCATGAGGATGCATCTGAATTTTTATGCCTGATCCTTGGGTCACCAGTGTTTGAAGTGCCTTCAGTCTTTGTTGTGTGTTTTGCACTCAGTGGGTAAGTCCAGTTTTTGTTTGCCTTGGGAAGAGAAGGGAGGAAGAAGAGCACCAGTTAGAACCTTAAAAGAGGCAATATGAAAGGACTTTCCACTCATTCCCAGTATTTAGCATTCCCTGAGTGTCCAGTGTTGTGCATGTGGCACTTGGGAATAGGCAGAGGAACAGGCTCTGTCTAGACCAGTGGGTCTCAAATTGATCTTGCCACAGGCCATGAGTGTGGATCACCTTCCCTAAGTTCCTGCTTTGCAGGAGAAAAAGAGCTTCCTAACACAAGTTCAATGAGCAACTCCTGCATGGTAAGTACCTGTCCAAGCACCACACATTTATTAGTTGATTTAATCTTTACAAGACACCTTAACTTCTCTGAGTCTCAATTTCCTTGCATTTAAATGGGAACTATAACAATGTCAGCTCCAAGAAGTTTTTGTAATGAGACAAAAATAGCTTAAAGTACAGAAGGATTGGTAAATTTTAGGTTCTCAGGAAATTATAGCTAATATTTTAATTGCTCTATAAACTAAATGCCACATATAATCCAGAGACAATACACGCAGTCTCAGCCTTCTTCTCTCTGTGAGTGTCCTTCGGAGCATAAAGACTTCTGTAGAATGTCTTTGGTAGAATTGCTTTAGATGTTTTGTTGGTTTATTTGTTTTTGAGTCATTCATGCAGCATTTATGTTTCTTGGTGTGACTGGACTTTTCTTGCCAGACATCTCTCTACAATCACTTCTGTCTGGTTTGAAAAGAGTACTTGATTTCACTCCTAAGCATGCACTTGATTGGTTTAAGTTACTGGTTCTCAACTGGAGGCAACTTTGCACACCCCAGGCATTTAGCAGTGTCTGGAGACAATTTTGGTTGTTACAATTGTGGGGCTGCAACAGGCGTTAAGTGAGTAGAGGCCGGGAGTGCTGATAAACAAGCTACAATGCACAGGTCAGCCCCTGCACAAAGATTTATTTGTCCTCACGTATCAATGTCATGAGGTGGAAAAGTGCTCGAGTGAACAATCTACTCTTAACCCTTTAAGTGAACAGTACACTAACATCTACTAGACATGTTTTCTCAGAACCTATTTGGAATATTTTCTGTACAGCCTCTTGCCACTTGCATTGTGTTTTCATCTCCCTGGAAACCCCACCCGCCCTGTCTATACTGGCATGATTCATTCACTCATCGCCTTCAGATCATTGGGCAAGTGGCGCTTTCTCCACGAGGCCGGCCCTCCCCACTCTCCATCATTTCTATCCTCCATTCATGGTCTAGTTCTCTCTTCAGTGCTCAACAACAACATTCTGCACAATTTTACTCTCCTTTTTTCTTATCTCTGGTGTGTAAGTCCCGCCCTGGTGCCGAGAAATGTGCCTGGCTCATGAGGAACTGAATAAATATTGTTTTAATGATGATCTATGAGATGGCAGTGCTCTCTGGACACCTTGCGAGTCTGCAGGTAGAGTGACAAACTCTGCTAGGTTACAGAGGACTGAGGAGGTTCTTCATATGCAGGATTTCCAACTCTAAAACACGACAGTCCCAGGCAAACCAGATGACTAAGTCACTCTAAGGACTCTAAGGGTTCAAAGTTCAGCAAGAGATGACTAAAAACCACCAAGACTGGGGAAGGGGAGGCATGAAAATGCTGCCTACCAGTGGCCATCACACCTTCAAACATAGCAGAATAATTTGGCAAGCTGGTTGTATTAGTCAGGGTTCTCTAGAGGGACAGAATATATATATAGCCTAGCCTCCCAGCCTACATCTTTCTCCTGTGCTGGATGCTTTCTGCCCTCAAACATTGGACTCCAGGTTCTTCAGTTTTGGGGACTCAGACTGGTTCTCCTTGCTCCTCAGCTTGCAGACAACCTATTGTGAGACCTGTGATTGTGTGAGTTAATACTTAATAAATGTGCCTATATATCGCTTGCATTATATGTATTAATATATAATATATTATATAATTATATATTATATGTTTATATATTATATCATGTGATTATATATTATGTATTATGCATATTATAACATATAATCATATGGTTATATATTATGTATTATGTATATTATAATATATAATCATATATTATATAATTATATATTATATATTATGTATATTATATATAATCATATATTATATGATTATATATTATATATTATGTATATATAATATATAATCATAACATATATTATATATGTTTTGTATATTATAATATATAATCATATATTATGTAATCATATTTTTATATATTTTATATAATGATATATGATTACATATTTATAATGTATAATTATATATTATATAATTATATGTAATCAGATATTATATCATTATATATAATAGGATATAATATATATATTTTTGTAGCAGGACGAGCCACAGACAAAACCCCTCAGACAACCGGTTAAAGAAGGAAGAGGCTTTATTTGGCCAGGAGCATCAGCAGACTTGCATCTCAAGAACTGAGCTCCCTAAAGAAAGAGTTCCTGGCCCTTTTAAAGGCTTACAACCCTAAGGGGTCCACGTGACAGGGTCATGATAGATTGAGCAAGCATGGCGTAAGTGACTATGTCCACATACGTTAGCGGTGGGGGCAAGCAATGCAAGTATTTCTCCATACCATTGTCTGTGATCTATAGATAGCAACAAGCGATCAGGATGGGGGTTAATCTTTAATCTACAGACCTGGCTGGTGGCTCCAATCATTCTGTTGTTTTTCAGCTTTTACTTCCTCCATCTGTTCGGAGACAGGAGATAGTAAGAGAAATGGCCTCTCTCCTCATTCCCTCCTTTGAGAACCTCACTCACTAGTGGGAGTTCTCACTCTCATCCTCGCTATCTAGATCTTCCTGTGAGACAGATTGATAGTGATTCATGTAATACACTTGTGCTGAGGTCTTTTGATGAACTAAGGTAGTGACAAAACCTTTTAGTAACTGGAGAAATATGCATAACATATAGAGGAGTGACATGCAGGTTCCTAACACTATTATTATTCCTATTATAAGAATTTTAAATCCTCCTAGAGCTGAAAATCATTTTCCAAACAGGGATCCAGGATCAAATCCATGCCAAACCTGCACATGTGCCAGCTTTGTCATGTCTCTAACTATATTTTTGACTACTTGTCCTTGATCATCTATTTGCAGACAGCAATTGGTCAAGTTGAATTTTTCAGACTCCTTCTTCAGCTGCCAGCAAATAGTCTAAGGCCAATCTATTCTGATAGATGGCATTTCTCATTTGGGTTTCCTGCCAGGCTAAAAGAGTCAAAGCTCTGCCAGTTTCATTAGTGATTATTTCTAAGATGGCCTGTAACCATATGACCCAGTAGAGCATGTAGATGGGGGTTTGGTACCCCCATGAGCCATTTTGTGTCCATGTGGCACCTATAGTACTGAATGATTATTTCGGGGTATCACTCATCATCTTTCCAATTTCCTATAGCTATGCTTCTCTTTTCTCAGGAGGCATAGACAGGGAAACCTAGGAGCTCACCTTTTTTTTACAGGCAGTAGGAAAAGCATGACTTAACGGTGCCAATGACACAACTACCTGCCCATTGGTCAGGTAACTTGGTGTAGGCTCTGTGCCCATATATCCTGTATAGCCCAGCGGGAGTCATCCAGTCTCGTTGAGATTCTGGATGGGCCCAAACAGTCTGTAACTTGGGAAATTTGCTGAATGGACTCTTTTCAGTGCAGTTGAGACCCCACCAGGTGACTGTCCCTGTCATGCTGTTATACAGCTTTTGTTCTAGGCAATTGAGCCTTCCCACAGGGATGGTGAAGTCCTTCCCCTCTCTACCTACACAGTATTGTCCAATAATCGAGGTTTTCAAGACCCAGAAGTTGCTAGTTTGGGCCTTCGGTACCAGAATTATATCAGGAACTGGATCAGTAGGCACCAATTCTCGGGCTTCCAAAGGCCATTGCTCTCCTATAGTGGTTCCCAGGACCGGTCCTACCATATTCCAGGTGTCAGGACTCCAAGCACTGGTCCCTTCTCGGTGTTCAGCCACTGTGTTGATCCTCATGGGATCTGCCCTGCACCACTCTGACGAGGCATTCCACCAGGGCAAATGCCTACCCAGGCGTGCTCTTAGGATCCATGTCGCTCAAGCTTGCCAGAGTCCCCCACAGGGATGCACTGCAGGGCAGGCTTAAGCCACCTAAGGGGCTGCCTCGACTGTCCATCAACCACCTCACTTCTCAACCAGGAAACCAAGAAATGTAGCAGGATGAGCTGCAGACAAAACCCCTCAGACACCAGGTTAAAGAAGGAAGAGGCTTTATTCGGCTGGGAGGTCGGCTGACTTGCGTCTCAAGAACTGAGCTCCCTGAAGAAAGAGTTCCTGGCCCTTTTAAACGCTTACAACCCTGAGGGGTCCACATGAAAGGGTCATGACAGATTAAGCAAGCATGGGGTATGTGACTATGTCCACATACGTTAGCAGTGGGGGTAAGCAATGCAAGTATTCTCCAAACCACTGTCTGTGATCTATAGATAGCACAAGCAATTAGGGTGGGGGTTAATCTTTACCCTACAGGCCTGGCCAGTGGTGCTGATCAGTCTGTTGTTTTTCAGCTTTTACTTCTTCCTTCTCTTCAGAGACAGGAGACAGTAAGAGAAATGGCCTCTCTCCTCATTATCATATATATAATATATAATTATATCCTATTATATATAAATATATGTTATATATAATTATATCCTATTATATATTATATATAATTATATCCTATTATATATAAAATATATTATATATAATTATATCCTATTATATATAATATATATTATATATAATTATATCCTATTATATATAAAATATATTATATATAATTATATCCTATTATATATATATTAATATATAATGCAAGCGATATATAGGCACATTTATTAAATATTAACTCGCACAATCACAGGGTTCCACAATAGGTTGTCTGCAAGCTGAGGAGCAAGGAGAACCAGTCCGAGTCCCAAAACTGAAGAACTTGGAGTCCAATGTTTGAGAGCAGGAGG